AATTTTAGAGTTTCCGATGTATTTTTGCATGCTAATTTCGAAAATCGAGGTTATTTTGCATAAAAAGCTATTTGTGATATTCAAAATCTATAAATACTAGCTGTTTTTTGGACATGTTCTGTTGCTCTGTTATCTTCTTCTAGAAGCTTGAATCACTGTATTAAGGATCGTGATCTTTTTTGGAATTTTTTAAATTATTTTGGTAACCTGTATAAAACTGCATTAATGATAAAAACTTCACTTTTTAATAATGAATTGTTATGAAGTTATAGGTTACACAATCTTTCTGATGCACTGCAAAACAACTGCATTAGTGAGTGCTCTTTAATAATGGGCAGTACTCATTAAAAAAGCAATTGTCTAAGATGATTTTATTTTTATTTTCTAGAGTATCCTCTGTTGTATATGCAGTACAATTTTGGTAATTGTTCATGCAACTATAGATGAGATATAAAATCATAATATAGCATAAGGGTCAATATTTGCTGAAAATGATTCCCATCCTAAAGGATTGATTTTCCCCTCAAAACTAAAAATGTCCAAAGTTTGGTTTAGTGATCTCATACCTCACATCAGTCCCTACTAAAAAATAATAAAAAGAAAAAAAACCTAGCGGGGGGGCATAGCCTATGGAAAATGCACCCCTTCTTTGGGCGGTATATATTTTTTTAAAATCATCGCTGAATAATAATATATACAAATTAATCATTTATATATTATGTTTTGAAACAAGTAGGTTATTTTCTGTCAAATAAATTGAATTACAATATATTACCATTGATTCTATCGTTTATAACTCATTACGAATAACTGAGCTCATACAATAAATACCAATATCAGTCAGTTTATACATGCATATACATAATAATAAAAATATATAATGAAAAAAGAATCAAGAAACAATATGAACATGAACTTGAATAGGACTCCACAATAAATTCTTAAAATTAAAAATAATTCAATTTCAAAGAAGAAAGAAAATAATTCTTAATAGCGTTTAATGATAAGCTTATTTTCAGGTCACTATTGGGTCATTTTTTCATTTTAATTTTTCTTCAAATGACTCTGTTTTGATGAATTTTATCTTAACAGTTATATTAAGTCGTTGTGAATGCAAGAATATAATTTGTGTTTAACTAACATAATAAAAACACACAGAGCACTTTATATAAATTTAAAGTTCTTTTACTATATTATGAAACAAATCAATTAGGTTTCCGAGATGATTATAATTTTACGAGCATTGTTAAAATTATGGCAAAATGAAGACCTCTGTTTCAATTCTAGAATTTTAGTCACCAAATTCAAGTTAAATATAGCCTCCCTTGTTAAAATTTTTGCATTCACCACCAATGGGTATGCTTAGTAACATAAGATTAAATACGGTTTGGAGCTGAGCCTAATTTTCTAATGGAAAATACGAAACTGGATGATAAATGAATGAAAGACTGTAGGATGCGTTCATCTTCATCGGATAAATGATAATCAGTAGCTTGTACCAACACTTTCAAATTCAATAGCATTATCCATACGGATAGTTCTTGTCTTAATAGTTGTGTAACGTCGTTCAAGCAAAGAATAATGGTGAAAATTTTGCCCTCTGAGTATTCATGATTTCTATAATATATAGTGACATGGGTAAATTGTGGACGTATGAAGACAGTTTTGTGTGAGTCACTTTTGCTAGCTGTACTCATTCAATTTGTTGCTTTTTTGCATTCTGCACTACTTGCGGTGTCTGCATGTTATTGGAGATTGCTACGAACAGAAATTTTAAATAATTCTAGTTATTCTTGCTCGGAAAGATGGCGATGAATATTATATATATGTTTGCTCTCTTAAATAGATAATATACTTTCATAAAATGGAAAAAGATCGTTTTATCAGCATTATTCTTTTACTTTGCTTGACTTTGGGAAAAATAAATACACAAGTGGAACAGGCTGTAGCCTCAGACGATTGCAATGATGACAATGGCAAAAACTTGCAAAATGAACAAGATTTGTCTTCTGTTGACGATTTAGAGTTTAATCTCAATGTGCAAGCAGCACCTACTGACAACTTACATCGTCCAATGAGGTAAGCCATTCAAAATGATTCGTAAAAGCCTTTCATCTTTCTTTTTCATACAACTGTCCTCTACGAATTCTTACTAGAGACTTTCAAAGAGCAAACTTAAAGTCTCAGTATTTTCAGACAATCAACATCTATTAATAGCAAATAAAGTAACAGATACCTCATAAAAACTAACACCATTTATATTTCGTATTTTTTGTAAACGATTCTTCCTTCAATGTTCGATAGAATTGTATAATAGGGTCTGATATAACGTCCTAATGTACAAAAAATGAACAAATAGCATTGCACTCTACAAATGTTGATAATTCTTGAACACAAAAGAACTAGTTTTGATCGTGTTTATTTAGATTTTATCTCTTATAAGAAACGTGTTTGTCCTTTTGTAATCGATGAAATTTTTTGATTCAAATAATATCCCATGACATAGGTTTAAGAAATTCGTTTCCTCGAATCTATCGTTGAGAAGATTTTAGTTGACACCCATAGTAAATTATCGGAAATCTAATTATTATAGTTGAATTTCAGTGATGAAACCGATGATCGTGTATGGCCCGATGAACCTATCTATCGATCAACTCGAGACGACAACATAGGTTTGGAGAGTCTTCCAACTCTTCGAATCAATGTGGAAGAAAAAACATTTGTACCTCTTCGCAGTGTTTCTGTTGAAGCTTGGATTCATACATTTGCTGCTGATGTCACATTAACACAAACATTTATCAATTTGGGAGATAAATCAATCGAAGCTATTTATGTCTTTCCCATCGAGGTATGTCACTACATTTCATATAAGTTGAATTGCATTTTTGTATGTAGATGAAAAGCATTCTAAGAAAAAACTCATGAAGTTATCAGAGTTAAGATTAGAACAGAGTTGCCATCGTTTGTCTACCTTTTCTTGTCTTTCAGAAGTATAGTCCAAAAAGTGCATACTTTCTGATGACGTCATATTTATCGAATGTATATCATTTGAAGAATAAGCATAACAGACATCATTAAATACTGTTCTGTTGAGCCTCTCACGAACTACAATGGATGTGATGAGGCTTCACATCTACTACAAAAATAATTTCATTATATTTTGTAACATTTGACGAGTACACGAACTAAGTTGATATTTTGATTAAATTCATAATTTACGGCTTTGACTTTCGTTAACCTATCGTTACTTCACGTACCTAGATTCTTTAGTGACCCACAAAATACTAATTCTATCTGAAATAAATATAAAAAAAAACAATTCATACTAATAAGAAGTAATTTAGATTCCCATATCGAAATCAGAATAAACCATTTGATAATTTCTTTGAATCATCAAAATTTCATTCGAAGGAAAATGCTGCTGTCTATGCTTTAACAGCTGAGATTGATGATCGTTTAATTAAAGCCGAAATCAAACAGAAGGAAGTAGCTGAAACTGAATATAATGAAGCAATTAAGCATGGTCAAACAGCAACTCTACTACGTCAAAGTGAGAAAACATTGGATACATTTATGGTAAGATGTTGCATTTCATTATGAAATATGAATTCTATAATTGACGACAATTTGTATTTAGATCAATGTTGGTGCTCTACCACCCTGGAAAGAATGTCGAATCACGATTCGCTATGTGACTGAATTGGATTTGATCGATGGAAATTTGATTCGATTTGTTGTTCCATCTACCATAGCTCCACGGTACAATCCAGAATTAGGTCATTTACAATCACCGGATAGAACAAATGCTAAATATGTTCAAAATACTCCTTATACAATATCATTTCAAATTTATGTCGAACGCAGTAAGTATGATCTCTCATTTAATCTTTTAAGTCCAATGAAAGGGAAAACAATAATGAATAGGTCAGTAACTTTTTTTTCTTGTCTATCTTCATGATTTTGTATAACCAATGTTTTCTTTAATTATTCTAATTATAAGATTTTTCCTTCCAAACTATTGCTTTTAAACAGAATCCGTGAATCTTATGAAAATGAACTGTAAATTGTATTTATCAAAAATAACCTAATCAACTTCATTCTATTGTTATAGCAGAATAACATAGAATGAAACGGGTCTCAATGCGAAGAGAGGTACATTTCAAAAGCTTGATTTTTCTCCAAAATTTCTAATGTAAATGAGTCAGATTAATGTTTATTCATAATATCGATCTGTTTGCTAATGAGGGTGTTCAATTGTCAACCTAAGGATAGTTTATTAGACAGAATATTTTCATTAAAAGAATTGACCGATTATGAAGTTGATGTTTCGGACAAACCTTTTTCTATCGAAGTGAATTATTTCGAAATATTTCTATTTATTATATCTAATGTAATAATCAATGATGAGGTTCTTATGAAATATCTATTTGCCATGAGAACATAATAAATCAAAGTTACAGAAAAGAAGTACTTCGTATTTGAGAGGATATCTTTTATTTATAAGTTTTAGTGCTTCTTTCTCTATTCTAGACGGCATATCTCGTGTTGCTAATCTATCTCATCCGGTTAATATCAGTACATCATCGGAATCGATCAACATTTCTACACAAGGTGTTGCACTCGATCGTGATTTTATACTCAACATTCACTTGCCAAGAAAGCCATCATCCATGTTGATTGCTGTTGAACAATACAATACGACGAAATATGCTGCACTTACAGCACTTATTCCTCATAATTTGGTCAAATCTAACTACATGAAATCTGAATTCATCTTCATCGGTATGTTTTTGTCAGATTTTCTTTTTGAAAGCAATGAGACAATAATTGATTAAACTGAACTTATGTGTGTTTAGACTAAATGTTCTAAAGACTGCAGTAACTCAATATCATGTATATCAAAAGTTTCGATATAGATAGATGATGTAAACTACTACTTTCTATTCTCTTATAAAGTCATAGCTGAACAAATGTTGAAATACTTTAATAAAAAGCCATGGATTCATTAATTAATATAGGGTGTGAGTTTAAGACTTGAACCTCATGACACAACCATATCCAGATCCATATCCTCAAGAAATATACTCTAAGGTTAAGTGTATCAATTTTATTCTTATGTGATTTTTTGTTGCAGTGGACTGCTCTGGATCGATGGAAGACGAGAATAAAATAGGTCTTGCACGCGAAGCCATGCTTCTCTTTATACGTAGTCTACCATTGAATTCCTACTTCAATATTATTCAATTTGGATCAAATTATCGAATTCTGTTTGAAAGTGAAATGACCAGTGTTACTTATAATGAAGAAACAGCTAAACAAGCTGAGCGTTTATTTAATTCAATGCAAGCAGATTTTGGTGGAACAGAACTATTGGCTCCTCTTCAATATTTGAAAAATAATCCACCAGCAAATGATCGATCAAGACAAATCTTTATTTTAACCGATGGTGAAGTTTCGAATACGAATGAAGTCTGATTGAAAAATTTCTTTATTTAAACAAAAAGAAATTTTGCTTTGCTTTTTTCACAAAAATTAGGTTATTGAACTATGTCACTCAATGTCATCGACTACACGAATTTTTACATTTGGTCTTGGCCATTCACCATCTCGTTCTTTAGTCAAAGGTCTTGCACGTGCCACAAATGGCCATTTTGTATTTATACCTCCAGGAGAAAAAGTAGACACATATGTTGGTAGTCAACTTCGTCGAGCACTTAAACCATCGATTGTCAATGCTCGTCTCGAATGGCATGGTTTATCATCGAGCATTGCCCAGTCTCCAGATATGATTCCACCATTGTATGCTAATGATCGTGTTCTGATCTATAATATGTTCGATAGCGATGAGTTCGATCAACGAACTGTTCAAGTTAATTTTCGGGTACGATGCAAAACAATCAGTTCAACAACATTTGTTCTTCATGATATCCACCACAAAGGTGATACAATACGTCGATTAGCAGCTAAAGCTATGATTCAACAATTACAACACATGAGACAAAACGATGTGACAATGTGAGTATTATAAGATGAACGAAGATTTTTTTTAAATATATGAACTAGAGCGCATAAAATTGACAATTGAATCGTGTTTCATGCTGATTCCATTATAGTCTACTTTCAGTAATATTTGACTAAAAATCTGTCAGTCACGAAATAACTGGAAGATCGGTGTAGAGTATTTTTATCCATAACCACTGATGCATACTATCGAATTAGCTATTCCAGCGGAAAATTGTTTGTTCTCATTTAAACTAAATGTCGCCATATGAGTCTGATTCGCATTTTGCACGTGTTCATTAAAATGCTGCAGGCTCAGTTATGCGTATCCATTAATTGCTTGAAGTATATACTACTATTTTGATTCTCTTTTTTCTCTTTACTTTTGATTTCCTTTGCCTGGTAAATAAAACAGAAAGAAAAGAAAGAAAACATCAATAGAACATGAACACGCCTCGCAAGTAATGGATAGTCAAAAGCAAAATGAGAATAAGACTCATTAATTAGAACAGCACTGTAAACTTGCTATAGTTACGATCAGATCTAAAATATACCTTTCATCCATGAAATAAGTCTCATAAAAAAATGTTTCACTTCTATCAAATTCACGTCTGAGATGCACTTCTTTTATTTGTTCACTTGAATATGATTTTCAGGAATTAAAAAATATAATATTCACATTGAAAAAAAATTGTTGGATGCTTTACTTCAAAAAAGAAAACAGATTTTTTTCAACAACTTTTTCTTGCTTAAAGGTTGATCGTAGTAGTTCACTTTTAGTAGACTAGGGATCGTGAGGAAGACTTAAAATAAGGTTGAAAAGTCAATCTTATGTTCTCCACTCGCGTTACTGAAAACTCTTTTTTTAAGGGATAATACGGAATCGATTAAACAACGAATTATTGTATTATCACTGGCTCATCAAATTCTATCACCATATACAGCTTTTGTTGGTGTTGAAACAACGACAAACCAAAGCGACGTAACTGCTCCTCCTGAAGTTCGCCATGTACCCATTCAGATATCGAACGATGATGGACATTTATTTTTCCATCATGCTCAGTACTTTGCTTCTGCACGGTCCTTTATGTCAGATCTCGCATTTCTGGATGATTTCAGTGATGAGTCAAGTTTAGATGTTGGTGTTCACTCGTACGTATTATTGCAAATTAGTTTATCGTATCTTGAAAACTTAGATGCTTTAAAAGAATCTTTTCATTTTTCTCTTGAAAACCTTCACTGGTCATGCTACAGTCACGAAATAGGACATTACTTGGGGTCATAAAGAGGAAAAAGAAGTAAAAAGTTTTTCTTTTATCTCAAGAGCACAGAGTTCAGTTTAGCTTGTAAAATGTTTGTATTTTGCAAACACAATCTTTGCCATTATAAGTAAATTAATTAGAGTAAATTTCTTACAGAGAGTTTAATGATAATATGTATCTGGAAAGTGCGAGGTCCTTCGAAAATAACATCACAAAGGAGGCATTTGGGCCAATATTGACTAGTAGTGAAGGATCGGTGGACGTTGATAATGTTCGATGGTTGATCAACAAGCAATCATTCAATGGAGCTTGGCAACTGACCGATAGTGACATAGAAATGTTAACCGGAGGCAAAACAATTGCAACGTTCAAATCACAAATTAGCGACATAGAGGATGTTATAACAACGGCTATTGCCATCGCGGTGCTTGAATCAAAATATGCTGATCAACAAGATCTATGGTATGCAATTGTTGACAAAGCACGCCAGCAAATGATCAACTTTGGACTGACTCAAGACAATGTTGATTTACTCATCGCTGAAATTAAAAACAAATTATAGAAACACTGTGAATACGTGTAACTTTTTCTTTGTATTTTTTTGTTTTGAATTCTATTAATGGTTTTGAACGTTTTTAAATTTATCTTTATACACGAGACAATTTATTGAAATAAGTTAAATTGCCATCATTTGGTGAGCTTGTTTCGAGAATCTTAACAGATGAGGTAGAACTGATGGACGTAGGATATCTTGGGTTAGAATTCGCGTATTTTCTTGTACGATTCGCCTATAGGTTAGGCCAAGTTAGACCAACGTTAGACCAAGATGCATCTCGAAGAGCTCTATCGAATGCACTCGTTTCTTTTTTCTTGGGACAATCCATCATTGAGAAAAACCTAAAATACTGAAAAAAAAACACAAAAAACCATCATTTTTTCGGAAAACCCGTCGCGATTCGCCCATAAGTTAGACCAAATGATGGAACAGCACACAAAGATAGAACTCAACGAGTTCTATCGAATGAACACTTTCTGAGCTCGATTCAATGCTCGAGTCACCCACAACCGATCAATTCCGGCCCCAACTGAGGCATTCGTCCGTATTAGTGATCACGATTCGCTCATAGCTTAGGCCAAGTGATAAAAATAGTAGACCAAGATAGAACATGATAGGCTCTATCGAATGGATACTTTTTGAGCTCAACTTGATCTTTTCTTCCCTCTGAAAATGCCGAAGTGCGGCACACAGGCCAGGCGCTTTTCCTGAAACCCGTGGCAGTTCGTTCATCATGGGACCAAGAGCTGATTGTGATGGAGTAAGACAGATCTTGCGTGGGACTGTTGAAGATACATGTTAGCAGGGATTTTCAAAATTTTGATGATGGAAAATTTGCGCATGTGACGCTGGCTTTTTTAGTTTTGTCCAAAATGAAGCGCAGCGGAACTTCCCGTACGTTTCAGCGACCTGATTATCAATGGATATTGAGAAGATGTACGGTAGAAATTCATACATTGTATCAGTAATGTTGATTGGAGCTAGTGGTGAAATTGCTTTGCTGGCTCTTTTGCTGTTTAAATGTTACGTAATAGTGAGAAAAGGGTGCGCGTTACATTTTCATTGCTCCGCCAGACAATCATCTTAGAAAACGCGTAAAAAGACGACTTCGTTACAACAGGGTTTTAACGCGGTACGCATTTACCGATTAAAACATGTAGACTTTTGAAAATTTGAAGCGTTTTTATCGGGTAAGAACTCGAATTTCATGCTTTTTATGCCTATCTACAGTAACAGATTGTGCTACGTGTGACAGTTACCTTAGTTATTTTGTGTTTTTTAAGCAATACAAGTCCTTTTAGTACATAAGTAATAGTAGAAATAGCAGTTCCTGAGCAATCAAAGTAAATTTTCCATGTTTTCTTTTTCTGTTAATTATTCTTTCTATATTGTTCAAGAGAATGTTCGTCAGTAGAATGTTTAGAAATATACATTTTTCCAGATAAATATGTAGTTTTAAAACATGTGATTATAAACATTTTAAAAAATTTATCAATAATTTTGTAAAAATATAGAAAATGTATGTACGATATAGACTTTTAAAAAATTTTAAAAAATATATTAAAAGAAATTTCGAAAAATTTAGTTTTTTTTACATAGGGTGTGGGTGTGGGTGTGTGTTCGGGTGTGTGTGTGAGTCTATATCGTACATACATTTTCTATATTTTTACAAAATTATTGAT